CCGATTTGACCCAAAATGGTATGGGCTGATAGCTGCGGGCCGTGGCTACACAGCGCGTTTTGTTGTACGCCGATTGGAGCTCTGTTGGCGGAGTTACAGTCGTATTTGTGGTAGAACCTATCCCTTCGATGCTGCTGAGCCCCGTTTTTCTAAGATATCTCTTCAACCACCTGGCCGATTTGACCCAAAATGGTATGGGCTGATAGCTGCGGGCCGTGGCTACACAGCGCATTTTGTTGTACGCCGATTGAAGCCCTGTGGGCCAAGAAATGGTAGGTGTCGTATATAAGGAAGTACGACACCGGTGTCGTATATAACACTACCGCTGTTACATGGGGCAAAAAGGGTCATCAAGAAGAAACTTCTTCAGGTCGTATCCAGGTGGCCATAGTGTTGAATGCATTTCGAGAAGTGGCGGCGGCGCAGGCACCGGGGGAGCAAGTCTAGACCTCCTCGCGACCGCCGCCTGTTTGGGCACTGGAGCGGTGGCAAGCGAGGGTGGGCGTGCTGGTGAGAGCGGGAGCGGGAGCGAGAACGAAGGTGGCGATGAAAAAGAGGTGGTTGTTGGCGATCCCAAAGCGCATTGCGTCACTGAAACTTGACTTCAAGTCCTTGTAAGAAAAAGGGGATGGTCGCTAATGCTGAAAGAACATCTGCGACCCGAGTTGATACCGCCACACACCGCAGAGATGCATGTTGTTCGAACGTTTGTGTCGACTGCTTCCCCATGTCACCGGCCCCCTCTTTTCACCACTCGTTCCTACGTGGCGGTGCAGGCAGCAGGAGAGGCCGATGCCGGCGAAGTAATGCCAACGTCTAGCGAGTTGGCGGGTGTAGCACAAGAGCCGTGTGAAGCACGGCGAATGCAGAAGAGTTGCGGCTCGCCAAGTGCGGTGGTGGGGGTCAAGGAGAACAGTAAAGAGCTCCAAAACGCCGAGACGGACAGCACTTTGTCGCTGACCGTGGGCTCTGCGCCTCCTGTGCACGGCAAGAACCTCTCACGAGCCGGGACGATCAGACGGGCTGGCACTGAGACAGTCGAGACAGCAGATGACGTAACAGCAGCGATAGCCACAGGGGCCGCAGCGGAGTTTAGTATATCGAGCGGTGAACGAGGGACAGTCTAAGGTGGAGCGAGCGAGGAAGAATGCACGGCACCAGCATCAGCAGCGGAGGGTGCGGCAGGGGGAGAGGGGGGAGGGGGGAGGCAGGCACCACCAGCAACAACAGCATCAGCAGCCGCGGGCGAGGAGGAGGGGGGGGTTGTAAGCAAGACACTAGAGTTGGTGGTAAGCACAGCACCGGCACAACCAGCACCGGCAGCGACGGGCGAGGAGAAGAGAGGGGGAGAGGGAGAAGTGGGGAAGCCGGGTGAAGCACAGCGAGTACAGAAGAGCCGCGGCTCGCACGACTTGCGCGACCAAATCCGGGCAGACGAGGGTGGCGGCAGCAGCAGCAGTAGCAGCGGCGGTGGGAGCGAACGCGACGAAAGCGGACCGGTATCGGGGTCGAAAGCAGGGGGGGCAGCACGAACAACACGAGCAGCATCATGAGAGGCATCCGCCGGGAAGCCTCTTGGGGGTGGGAGCGCGGGAGGGTGTTCCACTGCTGTCGAGAGTAAAGGAAAAATAATAGCGAAGTCTACGCCGGGGCAGTCGGAACAGCGAACGTACACAGGTAGCCGAAACAAGTCGTGCCGCAGCGGAGGAGCTGGGGGAAACGCGAAAAAAGCTTCTGTCACATAGCGTGACTCGAAGAAAGCTTCTAGGACAGGACGGGCAGAGAAGAAACCCAAAAAGAAGGAAGGACAAAGCTGGCGGGTGAAGGTGTGGGCCGAGGGATTCAGCGACGATGAAGCGGCCATGACCTTCGACGATGAAAGGTACGAGAGCGACATGGAAGCCAGAAAAGGAAAGGATCAATAGGAGAAGGACGAGGCGGCAGCCTTCAACAGAAAGAGACGAGCCCGACGAGAGAACGAGAAGGAGAACCGGAGGGATGCAAAAATTTTCAAGTAACCAAGGTGCGATACTCGTGTACAGAGTAGGAGGACGAGTAGTGGGAAGATACATACATGCATGAGGCAAATCAGAGGAGGTAGAAACCCGGCGTGTATTTGAGCACCCTTCTATTACCCGCTAACTGCCTTCTTCACTGCTTCCTGCAATTTTTTCGACGTTCATCGCCGCAAGAACTCCAGCGAAATGGAGATGGAGCGTCTTCTCGAAGCCCCTATCCAGGTGTTTGAACAAGCTCCTATCCAGGTGGACTCTATCAGGAGCTGGGGTGCGAGAAGCGGCTTCCACACCGAGCGTAGATGGGGCACTTGCAAAGCTTGCGCAAAGCTTAAATCGTCAGAATCGGACGCCGAAGGCGAAGAAACGGTGTCCACGGACATGCGTCCAGGCATGGACTACATCGAAATTTTCACAAGCCTTTACAACAAAGGGCTTATCTTGACAACACCCGGTCCCAAGCCTGTGTCGCAGTTCGAGTTGTCACAGCTCATGCAGAGCGAGCAACTACGGACAGCACGTACGAAGCGAGCACTGGCGCAGAAAAAACGGAGGGAACAACGTACGGAGCGCGCACTGGAGTCGAAGTTTGGGCCTGGAAAACATCGACGGTGAGCTGCATGACATGTTGTTGTTGGCGGCACGTGTTTGTTTCCCTTTTTTCTGCGGCGGCGACGGCGGCAGACTGAAAAAATAAATTTCGTAAAAAAAACTTTCGCCAGTTGCCTCAGCAAAGCATTGTTCCCACAGGACCGATCACCGATGGCCAATCGTTCCTTTCTAGTTTGTCAAAGGTGACTCAAAAGTGTCGTCCCTAGTCTGTCTATCCTAAAGATATTCCGTCCCGCGTCTTCAAACCACTTCCTGCTCCCCAGTACAGCTACCGTCCTTTCCTCTCTATTCCATGCCTCAAACAACTCTCTGCACCTCCATTCTATTTTTCCTAGCTCAGTCATGTACACTTCCCTCTCTTCTTCGTACAACTGACATTCCGCGACTACATGAACACGGTCTTCGCATTCGAAGTCGCCATCACGTTTGAACTTGTCGTCTTCGTCTTCTACCGTTCTATGTCTTCGTCGACGTTCTCGAAGGCGCATGTCCCCGGTCCTGCAATCGACCTTAAGCTTTGCCCTTGCCTCCATTGGTCTACGAAGGAAATACTTGAACCCTATTCCTTCTTTCAACATTCCGTACACGTCTAGACCCTCCATATCCTTGGTTGATTTCCTTACATTCTGTTTTTCATTCTCGGCACAAGTAACATATTTCTTCTCCTTGAACCCCTGGAATCCCTCCGTTTCCAGCGTTTCATCTTCGTCAATGTCGAATCCCTTCCATACGTCCTTTACAACCTTGACCCATTCCGTGGGTTGTCTACCCCTCTTTTTGTTTATTGTCGGCAACCTTTCCTCTCCTTACCGTAANGGGGGGGGGGGGGGGGGGGGGGGGGGGGGGGGGAGGGGGCGTACTGTTATGTTTTGCATGCCTTTGCGGTTAGACCATTGACCACGCATCCTCGAGAGGACGAAGCATTGTCCCCATAGGACCGATCACCGATGGCCAATCGTTCCTTCCTACTTTGCCAAAGGTGGCTCAAAAATGTCTTCCCTTGTCTGTCTATCCTAACAATATCTCTTTTCGCATTTTTAACCCACCTCCTTTGCCCCAGTAGAGCTACCGTCCTTTCCTCTCTATTCCATGCCTCAAACTCCCTGTACGTCCTATCTATTTTTCCCGGCTCAGGCACGCACACTTCCCTCTCCTTCTTGTACCACGGACATTCCGTGACTTCATGAACACGGTCTTCGCATTCGAAGCCGCAATCACATTTGAACTCGTCGTCTTCGTAGTCTACCGTTCTATGTCTTCGTCGACGTTCTCGAAGGCCGATGTCCCCGGTCCTGAATTCGGGGTCACTGGAGGGGGGGGCGGGGACGTATACCCATGTATCCCTGGGTTTCAGGCGGAGGCATCGGCGCCTTGGTGTCAGGCTCTCTAACCCTATCCCTAACCTTGCCCCTAGCTCTAACCCTAACCCTACCCCACAAGCTCTCGCTCGTAGAGGAGCGAGCGACGGCGCGAGAACTCGCTAACACGGGTCCGCATGATGAGTAAGCGGGGTAGATTGGTCAAGTCAAACGTAACCGTACAAGACCAAGGCTACGAGTAGATTTGCGAGACTATGCTCCCTATTGTGCAGTGCTAATAGAAGCGGCAAGAAAAACTAGTTTGCCAGACAGGTGGTGTTCGGTCGGACGATGGTGGTTAGCTGTGAGCTGTGTCGCTCATTTCGAGCTTTCGTCCATATGTAATATACTTTTTGGTAGACAAGGGGCGCTACCGTACGTGTTTTCATGTAGCACGGCTGGGTGATGAGCGTGGGCCGGCGTCTGACGAGCAGATGAGGAAGGGGTAACCAGAGCAAGGCATGTTTGCAATCCATCTTACCTCATGGTATTGTCAACGATTCGTGGAGTCATTTTTCGAATTTCTCTCCCCTCCGGGGCGGGGACTATCTATTATGTGTCCGGATTTGTTTTTCGCGAAGACCTTTGACTACAATAATAATATTCCTGACATCTTGTAAAATCGTAATTAAACTAGCGAGTTGTTACAATGACACTGCGCCGTGTTCCTTGTGAAGGTTACATTCATGACATCAGAGGGATTCTCCCCGGTGTTTTTGTGGTTGGTACAGTAGAGAACAACAGGGCACGTATCTTAAGATGTAGGTTACCTATACAACAGACAGATGTTTTTATACTTGGCACCAGCTGGTATCACTGATGTATGTCGTCAGTGTATAGCTTTAGACTAGACAGACTCGAAATAAGTCCAGTGCCCAGCCGGTTTTCCTCCACTCACTAAAAAGATTCCACCACTTCCCGTTCGACTGTGGGTATGTCTCGAACGGGTAGTCTTTCTGTGTGTGTGTTGAATTTTGGTGCTATGGATCCATTGCTGAACTATATCATAGACAATATCGATCAGCAATGCCGCACAGACTTTTGCGCGCCGAAACATGCGTGCGACAGCTTTAACCTAACCACTTCGGTGGAAAGCGGATTTCTGTTCAATACGGTGTCAGGGGTACCAGGGAAGACGGGGCCGAGTTTTGTTTGATTTCGGGTGGATGAGGTTGGGGTTTTGTTCGTTTTTCTCCATCTAAGGTTCGTGCCTAGAGTTCAGCTGTAGTGTTTCGACAAAAGTTTTGTTGACTTAGAGGCAAACATTCCTAGCTATTGGGCATCGAGTTAATTTGGCTTGGCATGACGGCCTTTACGATCGACTTTTTATGTATGTCTGCATTTATCTGCAATTGTCGGAGGGCAAACAAAATAATAATGTAATCATAGAATCTTTTCTATAGATAGAGATGGATTCGTTGGGTCATTCTGACAAAAGTCAAAACATTTTTTTTTTTTTGCCTTCCGACAATTGCAGATGTACCTCAGAAAACTTTCACTTTATGTCTCATACTCTACATGAATATTAAACCAATACGAAGTACAACAACATATGTAGGACTTATTTCTACTGTCACATCGTGAAAATATCTCCTCTTCAGTATGAAATATAACCAATGACAATCCTCATGGTATCCTACATGCGTAAACAATTGGAGGAGAGAGGTGCAAACAGAGGGAATGGCACACCGTGTTCACATAAAACAATTAGGATCTCCTTCCAACGGATGAACGTTCCGAGGGGCATTGTTTTCCCCATCCTTCGCGTTACTTACGTTCTATCGCCAAGCTGCTCTCTGCCTTTGCTCGCGGTGTGCGTTGCTTGTGGGCCTCTGATTTCGTTTCGTCGACCACGCCGAACAACGACAACGCCGTAGCTCACAGAAGGCGTTGGTGCCTTTACTTTCTTCAGCACGCGTGCCGCCGACGGCCTGCCAAGCTCTGAAGTCATCATCCTCGTCGCTCTTATCGTGAGGGACGAGTTGGACCAACAGCGCCCAATGAGGCGGAAGAACGAGGTTTTGGGCGGAAAAGGCATAACGGGAGAAATACCTGGGAGCCATTTTCCGATACTACTGTGCATCGATAGTGGGTGCTCTTGCCACTTCCTCATCATGTCATCTCCGGTCAGGCTAGTACTACACGGTTCATCTTGCGAAATGCCGTCGGGCAACGTTCCTTCCTGCTCTCCTCCGCCGCAGATTGGTAAAGACTATATATTCACGCTTTGGTAGTTGGGACCTTCCTATCCATTCTGCGGACGCTTGCTCGCTACTGCATGGTACGGCAAACACCACACACACAGTACTCTAAATTGTCGGCCCGTTCGCCCGAAAGAAACAAAACACACCAACTTTGGAGCAGTAAGGTTCAAAGCCTTGTGTATCCCAAATACTGAGCACACTGCCGTAAGCTACACTGCCATGTTGGGTTTTCAATTTGAGAATCATAATGCGATATCAAATGCATATGCATATGCATGCATGCATACATACCCCGTTACGTTTTTCTTCAAGTACTCTGGGCCTCATTTCTTGTGAACGCGCACTTCATCACGCAGGCACAGCGGTGAACACGTACGATATCGTGGGGTGTCATGGGCACAAAATTACGGCTGAACTCGGAAAAGACTCAGGTATAGACGATGAAGTGGACGATTCCACTCGGCAACCAATTTGCTTGCGCTATGTCTCGCGCTGTATTGGGTTTGGCGGGCTTGGGGTGTTGTTTTGTTTTTGTTTTAGGTATTACTACATAGTCCAGACTAGACTAATCCTTTTTTTGTTTGTTTTTCGTTCTATTATTTTAATTTTACTTTATTTTTTTGCCTTCCGACAATTGCACATGTACCTCAGAAAACTTTCACTTAATGTCTCATACTCTACATGAATATTAAACCAATACGAAGTACAACAACACATACATGTAGGAGTTGTTTCCACTGTCACTTCCATCGTAAAAATATCTCCTCTTCAGCTTGAAATAATACCAATGGCAAACCTCATGGTATCCTACATGCGTTCGCAAGCTTGGTAAAATACTACTGCGTTGATTGTGGAGACCATCTTCATAAAGGTTGAAACTCCCCAACGTCTGTCGAGGACGAAACCAACCCTCTTTTCCACAATAGTGGCGTCGACGACGAGACATGACAGCGTATCTGCTTTTGGTTGCAAAAGACACGGGTTCAAAACCCGCTGCTCACCTAATTTCCTTCCGGAGTACGGAAAAAGATAAACGGTGGGTGGGCCAAGAAACGATGCACTGTCTATCGAACTCTAAACTTCTGGCAATGCGTGGCGGAAGTGGCGCACCCGCACACACGCACAGAAGATTGTTGGAAAAAAAGGTGGTTCTACTCGCCGCCAGCCGGTCGGGTTCCGGTTACTCCAAGAAGACTTCTCTTGCCTAGCAAACAAGAAGCCTCGAAAGAGGGGGGGGTAATGTGGAGACCACCTTCATAACGGTTGAGACTCCCCAACGTCTGTCGAGGACGAAACCCTCTTTTCCACATGATGTCCTCTTGTAAAAGCTGAAATCCAACAAATGCTTTGATCCATGCTACATCTGATCTCCGTGTTGGAAAAGTCCTTTCTTCGCCGTTCATGATAACATCTTACCCTATTCTACGCAAATCTGTCACATCTTCTCTCAAACAAGACGCCAACTTCAAACGAAAACGCGTTCTACGATGCGTCTTCACTCCATCCCCATATCATTGGCGTTGACTTGTTCGAGGTCGATCTTGTTCGCCTCTTTTCGGCGTCTTGACGCCCGCGTGATGCGAGCTTGTACCTCTGCACTCGCCGAGATATGGCCACCTGTGTAGCCACCGAAACGATCTGAAGAAGTCGTTCCTTGAAGACTCCTTTCAGAGCCATCGTTCCTCCGTCCCTTGCTCCCACGGCATGTGTCGCAAGTTCATTGATGAACTCGTAACCCTCATCTCCAAGGCGGCCAAAGCTTTCCACGGCTAAGTAAGGCGGTAAGTTCGAAGCTGCGTTCGTCAAAGGACACTGTCCCGGACGAGGGTAGTGCTGACGCTTTCGCGCCTCGGATGCTTGGGCTGCGGTTCCATCGCTGGTCGTGCTGCCGTTCCACAAGTGTACCTCCTGTGCTTGCGGGTCCGCGTGTGTGACATCGAGGAGTACAATACGAAGTACAACAACATATATATGTAGGAGTTGTTTCTACTGTCACCTACATTGTAAAAATATCTCCTCTTCAATTTGAAATAATACCAATGACAATCAATCCTCATGGTATCCTACATGCGTTCGTAAGCTTGCTAAAATACTACTGCGTTGATGTCCTCTTGTAAAAGCTGAAATCCAACAAATGCTTTGATCCATGCTACATCTCCGTGTTGGAAANAACAAATGCTTTGATCCATGCTAGATCTCCGTGTTGGAAAAGCCCTTTCGTCTCTGTTCATGATAGCATCTTACCCTATTATACGCCAATCTGTCACATCTACTCTCAAACAAGACGCCAACTTCAAACGAAAACGCGTTCTACGATGCGTCGACACTCCATTCCCATATCATTGGCGTTGACTGGTTCGAGGTCGATCTTGTTCGCCTGTTTTCGGCGTCTTGACGCCCGCGCAATGCGAGCTTGTACCTCTGCACTCGCCGAGATATGGCCACCTGTGTAGCCACCGTATATTGTTGCGTAGAACACGGACGGCAACGATCGGGGGGCAAAGCAAAGACTGAAAGAGAGCGAGAGAGTAGGCGATGATGTACTATATACATACACACGCTGCCNTCTCAAACAAGACGCCAACTTCAAACGAAAACGCGTTCTACGATGCGTCGACACTCCATTCCCATATCATTGGCGTTGACTGGTTCGAGGTCGATCTTGTTCGCCTGTTTTCGGCGTCTTGACGCCCGCGCAATGCGAGCTTGTACCTCTGCACTCGCCGAGATATGGCCACCTGTGTAGCCACCGTATATTGTTGCGTAGAACACGGACGGCAACGATCGGGGGGCAAAGCAAAGACTGAAAGAGAGCGAGAGAGTAGGCGATGATGTACTATATACATACACACGCTGCCTCTCTGAAAAAGTCAATACGACAACACGTACGTACGTACGTACGTACGTCTGTCTACTAAAAATATATTATAATAGTGGTCGAATTTATAGTATAATTACATAAAAAATCTCTACTGAAAATGATTGCGCGCTAAGCATTAAATAATTCTATACTTCGTATAGACTATATATATGCTGTTGCTGCTGCTGTGGAAAATAACAACTTAACTGACCAAACACTTGCCATTGAACGATTGGTAATGGATGAAAGGTAAACTACGCGGGGTGCAGCAAGCACGTTCTGGACGTTACTTGGGGCACTGGGTAGTCGGCCGTGTTAGACCGAGAGAGAGAGGTTGAGAGAGAGTTGGAGAGAGAGTGGGAGAAGGAAACTTGATTGGAGAGAGACGGTGGTGGTGGTGGAGAGAGACGGTGGTGGTGGTGGAGAGAGAGAAGGAAGAAGAAGTGCGCAGCACGCACGCAAGCTCCATCGCACCAACCACGCCAAAAGGATCCCCGTGACTGCACCGGTGGTACCCTACTACACACGAAATTCCCAACACGTATCCCCTGGGATTCTCACGAACGACCAGATACTGCTGCGAGTATATCTAACAATGGAAGACATTATTACTCGGAGTTTCTGGTTTTTGCGTGGGGGGGACGGCAGCGTAAGTGTGCTCTTCTCGGCCGCGTGGGTGGTGTTGCCACAAATGTTCCCGCCCCCATCACTACTATATATGAAGTATATATAGTAGATTATTATATTCGCGAATACGACGTGATATGCTCCAACATAGACCATAGCGTAGCGGTACACCGTAAAACTCGGTGGATACAGGGTGCTGGTTCGGCCCCCCCCGCGTTATTATGTCTTCTTCCTGCGCTAATCATCTCGAAAGAGAGGAAGTTGGCTGCCGATGTATCGCATGATTAACTCAACCATAGAGTGGAACACAGTGGAAGGGAGGGGAAAGCTCACGGATATTTTTTCTTTTTTTCTCCTCCTTCACACGAATCGCCCCCCCCGGTGTTTGCCATCGGGGTTGGGTTTTCGTCGCTTGGCAACGACGTTGTCAAACAAGCCGCCCCCCCCGGTGTTTGCCACCGGGGTTGGGTTTTCGTCGCTTGGCAACGACGTTGTAAAACAAGCCCCCCTCCCGGTGTTTGCCATCGGGATTGGGTTTTCGTCGCTTGGCAAAGACGTCGTAAAACAAGCCAATTCACTTCGTGAACTCGGCAACCAGGTTACCGTTTTTTTTTTTCCTCCGTTTTTTTTTGGCGGTAACCATAATGGTGGTCGAGTAGATCATGTTGTGCGGGGTGGAGAACCCGCTCCGCGCAAGGGGGATGATCGCACCACGTTGTGTT